CTGTTAAAATAGGCAGCAGTGCCACTGATCAGATTCCTCTCTGTGTCAGTTGAGATTTATTTCAGGTATTTAACGTGGAATTGTGACAGACTGCAGTACCGCTGGTTACTTCGGCATTTTTCTACAGTCGTTTAACAGTGCTCCATATTCATCTGTCACTGCCTCTGAGAAGTGCATTAGGCCTGATCAACCAGTACATTATTATCTAAGTCTCTATATTTAGTTTGCTTTTGAACGTGCCCATGGCTGAAGTAAAGAATGTTTAGGTTTGTGTGGCAAAACTCTGTATTTTCTGGGAGTGCTCAGGTTTCTGGATGAGAGAGTTAGTTGAGAATTTTTCGGGTTGTCCAGTTCTTCCACATTTTACAGTTTCTGGAAATCGTATAAATTTTTAGATCTGTCAGAACTGAAAAAAAAAAGATTATGGGCGTGTTTCCTTTCAGTGTGGTTTCTGCAGCTCAGGAGAAAAAGCGCGTTCCATGAATCGTATCAAGACCAAAGTTGTTTCTTTAGGCGGGAAGAATTTTGCAATAGTCCACTGATTGAGGTGTCGGCGGGCTGGACATACCACTCTGAGAGGGCGGGCAAGAAGTGCATGCAGACTTTTGGATAGTTTTGAGTAGTTGATGGTTTATGGAGACTGTGAGGACCTCAAATTCACATATAATTTGACATTGTTTGCAGCTCACCTGTAATGTCAACAGATGTAAAATTGGTAAGGATAAGATTTTGAAGTCTGTGTCCGCATACAGCAAGCAGAGGCAAAACACCTTCATGGAAGTCTAAAGTGAGTCCTTCGGAGTTTGTTAGAGAGATTGACGTGAGGTGTTCCATCACCATTAATTTGTAGAGGGCCTCACTGGGGAGCCAAGCGTTGGACAGTGTAACAGAGCGAGTTTCAGGGCACAGACGAGCAGCAGCTTCGAGGCCTTGGACGCAGACGTGCTCGGCTACTGAGATGAGCGTTGTGAGGCGGATATGTGAAGGGGGCAACGTTGGCTCGGCGCTCAGTCGAACTCCTGCTCCCATCAGCAGCCGTGATTCCAGCCCCTGATCCCAGTTTTCCACCAACTCCAGAACCTGCACAAGAATCATCATTTATTCACAGATCATGTAGCAGATAGAGACCCGTTCAGTGCTGCCGTCCTCCAGGGTTTATCTAATATTATTGTGATGTGAGTGCAGAAGAATGATGAGTTATGTATTGCCTTTAGTAACAGCCGATGCTAATGGGTCCCTTGTTGCCATGGCTGAGATGCGGCAAGTAGCTGATTACTGAAAGTTACTACCTAAATTTGCCAGAGAACATTTTCGACACAAAAGTCCACTGGGAATCGTTTTTGAGATCTGCAATCCCTCAGTTCCTCGGAACAGACGCCGACTCAGCGGTAACCCGCCTTGGTCGTGTTTCGGAGGTGCGGTGTTCGTTACTCGCTCGGGGGAACCGGATATTCCAACAAACGTTCAAGGTTTTCTGGAGCCCTTCCTGGCTGGTCACGACCGATACGTATTTTATAATCGTTTTACCATATCTGACTTTACGCTAATTGACATAGTCAGGAATATGAATTAGGCGGGATTGGCGCTCAGAAACTAATCGGCGTCTGAAATATAATGCTTTGCGTGTTGAATCGAGAATAAAAGTTTGCGGTAAATCATCTGATTATTTCAACAAAGTGCCTTGGTAGAAAATCCAGTCAGCCCTAAGCCAGAGCGTTCGTCATGAGCTTAAAGAAATAAATTCTACGACGCGTTTGGTATTATCGGGGAAAACGAAGAACGTAAATCCAGCAGTGAATGGCGGTGGATTTGTGACTTGATAGCACTTCCTTTAGGGGGGGGGGGGGGGGGGG